TTTTAAAGACAGTAGTAACTTAGTAAATGTGATAAAGCGACGACTAATGCATCCGTTAGAGAAAGCAGATGGAAATCAAAGATTATACTATAAATATCGAAAACAGTATGAGTCACAATGACTTGGCATTACCAAACGAAGTTTATTCATCTTTTTTTCTTTCAATATTTTATTATTTAAAATATTGCGTGAACTAAAGCCATATACTGTATTTCCCGATCGATAAATAAACGAATAATTTAAGTTCATCGCTCTATAAGTGAGGCATTGTGCAAATTGTTTCTGACACATTTGTGTGACAGACAAAACAATTACTTCGGGATAAACTGGAAAAATGTTTATTTCGTTTTTGTGATTGGTTCTAATGATTCTTGGAATTTTAGCCTTGTGTTTAAATGCTTAACATCTTCTTAACCTAGGCCTACTTAACATAAAATACGGTACGGCCGCGCTAATCCGGTGTGGTAGTTCGGATTAACGGGAATACGATACGCTTTCAGCCAATTTTTACTGTTGTAGGATACTTTACAACAGAAAACACAGGTTAGAATTGTTAAATCAAAGAATGTGACAGAAAAAATGAGCAGCAATGCTTACAAGTGACTTACTTTACACTTAAACTGCAGGTATATAGTTGACATATTTTAGGAGAATATCTGAAGTGAGAAAATGAAGAATAACTGTACATTTTCACTATAGAAGCGTTCTAACAAGGGGCTGTGGGTTCGATTTGAGTTTTATTTATTTTACTCCAGGGATTTTAGGGTTGTAAACAGTTTTAGAACGTGTGATTCCTTTAGTTTTCCGGCTCTATTATATATAATAGATGGAAAGTATGGCGAACGATCAAAACAAGATCAAAAGATTTTTATGATTTTGGACTCGGGAACCTTGAAATGTCGAGAAATACAAAAAAATATTCGGGGGTTTCTCTGTATGTGTGGGGGGCACGATTTTGTTCCCCCACTTTGAAGCTCATTAACTCCCGTGTCTTTTGTCATAAAATTCTGAAATTTTGCAGGGGGGTTTGTACATTAGGGACATTAGTGCAATTAAATTTTAGTGATTAAAGGTCGGAAGGGTGATGAGATATAGGGGGCAGGGGCGGACTAAGGCCTAGGCAACCTAGGCACGTGCCTAGGGCCCGTAATTTTTGGGGCCCCAAAAATTAGGTTTTTAATTTTTTAATTTTAAAAATAGGCCCGGAATTACAATGTTGCCTAGGGCCCGCTTTAGCCTTAGTCCGCCTCTGATAGGGGGAGTATGTAGCATCTCGAGTGGGGACTGACTTAATTAAGATTTTATTCGTTATTAGCATTTAAAACTTTTTATCAAACTCATCTTTATCCTCAAATCAAGCTTTTTAACATTTTTAAAATAATTAATAATATTAAAAGTTTTTAAAAATAAAATCTTGTAACAGATGGCGCTTCGCACAATTTTTATTTTTTATAATTATACACTTCGATGGATTACGTCAATTGAAATAACTCTAATGGAATAATTAGGGTTGAATATATTTATGTTAGTCCTTTCTTTACGAAATTTTAAACATTTTTTACTTTAGATCCTTTTTTAAATATACGTAATTAACGCTCCTTACAATCGTGATACTAAATGAATACATCGCTGATACCGTGTCGCCATCTATCGATTGTAATTGAAATTTATTCGGGATTTGAGCTGCGAAAAAAATAATTAAAGTGGTACCTCATACTTCGAACGATTCTAACTTCGAACACTTCGGTGTTCGAATGATGCTTCAAAGTTCGAACTGTGCGCGGAATGAAAAATGCACTCGAAGCATGAGGAAGGCTTGAAAATGAAAAAGGCTCTCTAATTACCCTGTAGGCAATAAGAGAGCCGTTTTTCAGGCTTATCGTGAGTTTTGCCAGGTCCAGAATGGAAAAAGACTTTTAAAAATATGTTCGGAATTTATAACACTGATAGATGGCAACCAACTTTTTCTGTTTTAATCCCCACAAGTTGTTAGAAGTATCGATTTTTAGAAAAGAAGCCTCGGACCGCCATTTTGCGACCGTGGCATTAAAAAAACTTTCTGAGACATAATGTAATATTATCGCATTTTATATGAAGGCCCTAAAATGTTAGAACGATGGCAGATTGAAAATTAAGGCCTCATCCTTATTTTCATAGTTATTGATTCCATTGAGAAAAAGGGTTAATGAAAAAATTTAATCCGGACATAGTTCAGTGACAATTAATGTTTCTTATTTAAAAAAATTAAATTTAAATTCAATGCTACTGCCAATTAAACAATTCTAACAAGCATAGCTTTTAAAATTATTACAAAATGGTTTGTCATTTGATGTCTATGAAACATTAATTATTCTTATTTAATCATCTGCTGCCATCTGTTTTCTCTTTTCAGTACAAAAATTTTTAAAATAATGTCTTCGTTTCAATTATTTTTAAAATTCTATATACAATAAAAAAATGCATTTAATTATTATGAATTAATATTAAAAAAATTTATTAGTAATTTAAGAAAAAATTTAAAAGTAATCAATAAATTAATATTGTTACCACCAGATGGCGAATACAAAAAATCGATATCGTGACACAAAAAATAAAAATAATGGCAAAAACCAGACGACATTACGTCTCACTTTTATAATACCGAAAAAAATAAAAAAAATTTATTACTTTCACTTATATTAAATAATATATTTTATTATTAAATTATAAAATTAATCAGCACTTAAATAAACAAAACATTAAAATTTATCTGCGATTTGATTTTTAAATTCAGTAGAAATCCCCTTGATCTTTGAATGTGATTGCGTCATTAAAACGTAGTCATTACCTAATAATCGGGACCTTAAGTTCGAATTTAAATTTACAATCAGTTATTATGACGAAACTATATTTTATTTCACGTGTATAGCACGTGACCTTACAGGAATTAAATACAGCTTATCAAAAAAAATAAAACATATATTCTAGATAAATATAATGTTTTTTTTTTTTAATTATGATTTACAAATAGATACGTTAAAACACATTATATTTTATTTCCTGAGCAAAATAATTCTGTAAAATACCTTTAAAAAATTCATACAGCTTTAGATATTATAATTTTATAATATTTTAACTCTATGAATACTCATTTAATACATTTTAAATTATAAAAAAAAATGCATAAATATTTAAGCTTTTACAATTAATATTTGCTCCCATGTAGCACATAATTACACGAGGAAGAAAATAATATAAATTTACTAAGAAATCTAAAAATAGAAGAAAAATAATTTCTTGAAAATTCATTTGAATTCAACTTTCTACTAATCTAATTAAAAGTAAAATGTAATTAAAATTTTTTCATTTTAACTAACTTATTTAACTAATTTATTTAAATGATTATTTTCTTTTTTTTTTAATTCTGTGTTGATAAAGTATAAATAAAATTTAAAAATTTCAAACATTAACTATAATTAAATCCTAATGTTATTTAGGTTTTTAAATACAGTCGACCTCCTATAACACTGTTGATAATTCCGTTTTATATGAATTCCATGTTGTACGAGTCACTTAGATTTTACAAATATGTGAGCCGTTCACAGCCCAGCACACGTATTTGTAAAATCTAAGTGACTCGTACAACATGGAATTCATATAAAACGGAAAAATCAACAGTGTTATAGGGGGGTCGACTTGTACATTTTTAATAATATAAAAAGCTTAATTTTTATAAAAAATTAGGAGATATCTATTCAGACACAGGATACAAAATACATTTTAATAATAAATTAACTGAATTTTTTTAAACAATTTTGGCACAGATGTAAAATAAATTACATTGTATCATTTGAAAATAAAAAAATTATTTTTTTTTTATTTTTTTTTTGGTGGCTTTTCAAATGATACAATGTAATTTATTTCACACTATTATATTTTATTATATTCTTTGGCTATAAATTTTAAATTTATTTTGATGTTTTAAGTGAAAAATAATCTGAAAAACAATAAATCATTACTTTCAAGTTATTGAGTGTAATTTGTGTATAAAATATAAATTTATTTACAGATTAATTTATATTTTATGTACTGTATATTGTATACTGAATGTGTATTATTTATAAAAAAAATTACTCATCTCTCAATAATAAATATCCCAAATTTTATTCGTATTTGTTTGTGAAATAAACTTCACTGATCAATGACAAACGAAATATTTATATGAAACTCTTACGTCATCATTAATAACAGATACGTCATCGTGATATATCGTTTTTCCGCGTTTAATAACTTCTTTCACTTTGATAATTCAAATTAAATCCCATGCAATAATCATTATAATGATTAGTTGCATGAAAATTCTTACATTTATGCATAATAATATCATTATTTTTTTTTTTAATTCGTAAAATTAAATTAAATAAAAAGTAAAATGTAAAAAAAAATTAAATTAAAATACATGTTTTAAATTAAAATTATAATAGTTATAATGTAATTTTTTTAATTTATATAACAATATTTATATGTGAATATTTAAAATTTTCAGATCTATCACGTGATTAACCTTGGACTCTCGAACTCATATTTCAAACGTAACAATTCTTTTTTTTGTAAAATCGGATTTAATTCGTCGATGATTAAGAAATTATCATAATGGTTATTTAACTTTAGAAAAAGACGAAATAATCTGTAAGTTACTAAATCTTATAATAAAACAAATATAAAAATAACATTAATCTCGTGATTAATCGTAATACAATTTTATTTTTTAAATGACGTCTTACGTTATTACATAACGTGACCGAATTTTAAATTCACTTTCACTATCATTACTTTATTTTTATTGAATCAAATAATATTTTTAAAAAAATTATATTTATCGGTTGGTTTTTATCGATGAGGAAACAGGATTTTCTTTCGTTATTTTATTATCAAACGCAGACGCGCTCCCGCCAATCGTTTCGTCTAGACGTCAACCGGTACAGACGTCACGTGACTAGGGGTGTGGCGGAATAAATACGCCAGCGCCGCCGCCGCCGTTTCATTCACTGCATTGTTTCCGTCAACTGAGGTGCGTTAACCGGATACAAAAACAAAAACAACAAATACGAAAAAATGGCTTTTATGATGCCGGTCGTACGTAACGACTTCGATATTTACGCCAACCGTTCTCGAAGAAGCAGTACTTCGTCTAGTTGCCCGCCTTCTCGCCGCGGAACACACAGCGATTCTGGTAACACCAGCCTCTCGTGTTCACCTGGAAGTGACGTGGAAGAGACACTAGCCGCTATATCTCTCGGATCGTCTCCGCGAGGCCGAAAAACGTCGCAGGATTATCAAATACCGAAATCCGCATCGCAGAATTCCCTTTCGAAATTTCACAGTAAAGTGGTTGACAAACTGAGAAAGAAAATCCATTCCAAGGAGGAAACCGACGAGGAAGGAAGTGGTTCTAGTAAATCCGCATGTGTACCCGTACCTACCAGTTAAATATAATTGAACTTTAGTCATTTATTAAGAAGAAAAACAAATTTATGTAAATAATTTGTAAGTAGGATTAGTTTAATGCTTTTCTGCAAGTGCCTCAAATATATAAATTATATATATATATACAGTATAAAATATATGTAAAGGTTACACATATTACGTGTAGGAATATTTATGGAAGAGAGAAGTACCGGGCCTTGCCTAATTGTATATATTGTATGCCTGTACAGTAATGTATAACATATCATTGTTTTTTTTAAGCGTAGGAAATAATATAATAAAAAATCCTTTTTTCCCTATAAGGTGGTTTGTCCTTTTATTTCTGGGTCGTACTTGATAACATTTCTACATCACGTTTTTGCATAACTGTCATAAAATAAATAAATAAATGAGAAATTTCGTCACTGATTACGTAGGTTCACGCGCTATAAAAAAAAGGCGTAATCGTAATTAATGTAAAAATTTTTTAAAATGTTAAAAGTATAGAGGTATTATTATTTTACGCTAGTTCATTATGGCAGAAATAATTAAAGACTTTTTAAAAAATTTTTTCGAACAATTATATTTGGAATTTTTCGTACTTGCGTGATTATCGATCCGGTTTTTTGGCGATTTGCCAGAATTTACGGTTTGGAACGTTGCCAAGTGACACACACACACATTTTCCCGCCAAACGATAAAAATCGTCTGCCATTCAATTAATTTATATTGGTTTTTTAAATTAAAATCTTTATTAAAATAAATTTAATCAAAATATTAATTTAAAAAATATTTTAAAATTAATTTATATAATATTTTATAGGAGCGAAAAATCGGTTTATTAATTAAACAACGTTTCGCCTCCATAAAATGTCTGGTTAGTGTACGAATAATTTTTAAATCCGGAAAAAAAAACGACCGAAAATAATGAAGATTTATATATAAATAGAACGCCCATTTTATATTAATTTATTTTAAGTAGAGCGCTAATAGCGAAGGTTAATCGAGCGAACGCTAAGCAAATACACGTTCCGACATATTTATTTTTAGAATTTTTTACAATCCAGATGTGTCGGAGAATTAATTTAAAAAAATTTTTCGCGTGTGGAGAAATTTTTCGCTAATAAAAATCACAACAGAGATATCGAGACATTAACCCTTATATGTACGCCAGATGTAAACAGTCGAAGCGAGTATCAATCTCTCTTCTTCATCAAAGAGGAGGGAACGCTTTACTGGACGTATGACCTTTCTCGCATCTTGGGCGCGTGCCAACTATAGACACCTACGTACATGTAACCATGGAGACGGAGGGCGATCGATACCGAAATTTCCAAACAACGTAGTATCGGCGAAAGCTCGATTAAAATACAACATACGATTTAAATCGAAACAATTAGTTACAATAGAGGAAAACACAAGAAAACAATACGCCGTGTATTTTGTTTTGTTTACGTTATTTTGTAGTGTTACTGTATGTGTCTTATTGTGTAATAATTATAATTAATTCACTTATTATGAAAACATTCATTCATATTGATCGTGTATATAAACATTTGTGACCTACATTTCTTTAGGTTATGTTACACTTGAATGAGAGCGATGTGTAACTAAATCATACAAAATCGATAGGTATACAATACTATTAAGCGTGTGTGTGAACGTAATTAAATTATTATACAAATAATTTATGATTTATTTTGCATTTTTACGAGTTACTCGGCAATATTTTTTGTTTGGTTCGAAGTCTGAACCCATTGAACAATTACTGTTAATGAAAGATGTGACATTCGATGATAACATTTTAATATATCAATGATCTTATCGGGTGTATTTTGGAATGGTGCCAATAGTCACATTTCCGCTCTTGAAAATTAATAATAATAATAAATGAAAGCGTAAGAGATTTATATCGATTAAAAGAAATCGAGTTAAGGGACTTTAAAATGGAGAAAATTGATGTGTAATTGAATTAATCGTGACTTAAATGTCGGTCAACCAATTTTTACGGCTTGAGAAACTTGTAACACTTGAAATTATGATTTCAGTTTATATATATACACTCTTAACCTGTAAGCAATGGCCAGTTGGTCGTGGGTTAGCACCTCGCATGGTCACGTGATTTTTAAGTGGGGTATTTTTTCCATGTTTGTAACAAACAAAAAAAAATGGCCGGTGTTCTGAGGTTGTTCTGCATGCACTTTGTTCAACAGTAGAAGTTCTGAAAAAATGGCCGCTTAGAGCAATTTTCGGGACTTTTACTTTTGAGGCCGTTTAGATGTGTCCATTATCGGAGGTTCGACTATATGAATTAATGTCTGTAATAGTAAATCAATTGAAATGTTGAACCAACCCTTAACTGAAAGAACCGTTATAACTCATTTTAGAAGTTTAAAAAAAAACTTAACACTACGTCAATGGCATGAAGTTGTCCGCTATTGTACAGTTTCAAATACAATAGATTAAATTAGATTAAACGGCATTTAAAATTCTTGAATATCATTGAAACGTTCTACAACTGATAAGGTCAATGTTTATACAAATAAAATATAACAAAATGTGACTCATATTTTAATCAATCTAACAGCAAAGTCTTTTAATCAACCTCTAAAAACATGCAAAGCGAGCTTATCAAAAAGTAGTGTGATGCAATCCGACACAAGTAATTTAAGGTGGAATTTTGACCTAAAATAACATCACATTAATAGAAAATTTCAAAATAAAATTACGAAAATAAATAAATAAAACTATTTTTAATTGTAATATAATATACAAACAAAAATGTCCGAGTTAATGAGTTATATAATCGACGAATAAATAGTTATTAGTGAAGAATTATGTTTTTAATTAGAAAAGTATAAAAATATAATTTATATACTGTGAACCCTCATATAACGCCAGAAATACATTCTGCATTATAGGAAACCACGTGTTGTGCGAGCTGTGTGGTGTAACAGCAAAATAACCAAAACCTTAGAAGCACATGAATATTGGCCCATATAATGCATTATAGAAAATGTTATAAGGGGGGTCCAACTGTATATAAAATAAATTAGTTTTATTGGGAAACTATTAAATGTTCTCTACAATTTAAAAATCTTAATAGTTATGATAATTTGTTTTTCTTGTTTTTTTGATTCACAAGTAACTTTATTATTACTTCTACAAAATGAAATGACTTTACAAAGTCATACATACCCAAAGATGATCGTTTACAGAAATATCGATATGCAACTTCACATTTAACTGAATGAATTACATTTGTCAAAGGCTGAATTCTTAAATCAGCTTGAAAAATTAAATCAATAAACTGTATAAAATTTCAAGCTCACAGAAGAAAGAAGTGAAACTTTCCACATTTAAAAGTGATGTCTGTCGCTGGCTTTATCCGCTCGAAAGCCACGGATCAAAACCTTCCCACTCTCTCCTCTCTATCTCTTCTGTCCCGGTCATGATCGCGATTTCGATTCCGAGAAGGAGAACGGTCCCTGCTGCGACTTCTCCGTCTTCTCTCTCTACTTCGCGAACGACGCCGATCACGACTGCGGGATCTTGATCTTGACCTTAAAATAAAATCTCATTAATATGAGTGTTTTATATTTCACTTATTTCAAAATATTATAATAGAATAATGAAAATTCTCATGATACTATGTGCTTTTAATTTTTAATTAATGAAAAGAAATTAAGCTTATGTAACAGACTATGTAGTTTGAATAATAATAAATAAAGTATTAAATATTTAAATATATAATAATAATAATTTTTTTTATTTGCATTAAGGCTAAGCCTTGTTACAGGGTGTATTTTTCCAATAATATATTATAATTATATTATTATATTTTTAAGTAATTCTAAAGTATTTATTTAAATATTTACATTAAATAGAAAATAACAATTATTATTATTATTATTATATTTAAATTATGCAAATATTTAAACAATTTCAAGGAACTTATTAAATATTTACATAATTTAAATACACTAAGAATATATTTTAAATTTTAGATGAATTTACATTAAATTTTCAAGAATACAATGATTACATTATTTACAAAAGTAATTGAGTAATATGACTTCTTACAATAATGTATACAACTTGTTTGTTCCGTGAAATATGAGAATAATTTTAAATATTTATAATTCGGTACTAAGAATACTGATAAAATTGTTACACAAGACATAACAAGATTATCTCATTGGTAACTTATAATTGAAGACTGAAAATTTACAATTAAAAAAACTGAATTGATATTACAACTGTGACAGGAGCACTTCCACATTCAATAGTAGAAAAAATAATGATCAAAAGTAACTTTTTTTTTTTTTTATAAATAGCATTAAGGGAAAGAGCAAAAAAAATCACTTTCTCTGTTTTACTTTGTTAAACAATTTAAAAAAACTGGAGAGCAATTATAAAATTTTTATGGGATTTTCAGAACAGTGTACATAAGAAAATCTGTTGAAAAATTAAATATCAAAATTAAGAATATTGGAAATAATATCCATTTTTGGCATATTTACATACATCTATTAAATTTTTTAAAATAATTTTCATTACCTATACAATTGGATCATATGTAAGATTGAAAATAATAATACAAGAGGACTGTACAAAATCCCAAAAATCTAAGAGAGAATCTAAAAATTTCAGATGAGAAAATGCATAGTTCAAAATGTTAAAAAACACCAAAATTTGTAAAAAATGTCAAAAACTTTTAAATTGTAAATGCCAGTACCTGAACTTTCTGACTATAAAACAAAACATATTATAACAATAATAATTAGCATAAAACTCAAATATTAAAAATTTCAATTCAATATTTACAACAGCAGACTGACAATTTACAAGATTACAATTATTCAGTTTCAAATGATTAACCTGATTAAGGAAAAGACAGCAGAAAAAAAATCTTAAAATCAGTACTCATCAATCAAATCAATCATTTAAATTCAATTGCTATACACTGAGCACAAGAAATTAAGGCTGGCTTTCTGTGTCAGCTTGACAATGATCTTTTCTGATTTGCATATCAAACGTGCTGACAAAAATAAAATTTCACTTATGTCTCTGATTTCAGAAGTATAGTAAAATATAATTTAACATTTTAGTCATAATTTAATCATAAATTAGTGGGTGCAATTCCATTGATCATTCAATTATTATTATGAAATAATGCACATTAAGTATACTTGGTAATTGTTGTACTAATGTATACTTGGTACACATTAATAATACTTGGTACGTGTTAGAACAGCAATTGAGGTTTAATATTATTCAAATTTCATTTTGTTTTAGTTACTTTGAGTTGTGGGAATAAAGAATAAACAAGCAAACTTTCTTCGCTGTATATTAAATTACTATAGTTATTGCAGTAATTTCAAAATTTTGGAAATGTTTTATTGTTTTCAGATATTTTTCATTTCTTTAATCTGACAAATGACAGGACATTATTTTTTTGCATCAATTAATAGCTGAAATTCAGTACTAGTGGGCTAATCAAATCACAAATTACAAGAGTCAAATTATAGTTTAGATTGCTGGTATTTCAAAAATGTATTAAAAATATAACTATGCCCCAGCCCTATTATAATAATTATATTTGTTCATTTTTATTTTATTTTTTAATGCTATATGAAAGAATTTTTTTTTAAATTTCCTACCTTCTTCTTCGACGTCTTCCATATAATTCTCGTCTTAATTCTCTAGAAATGGGCTTTAAATGCATGAAGTTACAAAAACCACTACGTGTACATTCTCTAAATAATTAAATCATCATTATTAATAATTACAAAATATGTCTTGGAGTTAAACAAAAATAATTATTAAAAACTTTTTTACCCCATTTCATATTGTCGACAACATGCTTCTCTAAAGTCTGTAACGGGTGATAATTCTGCATATATTGGACGACCTGCAAACCACCGATTATTCAAATCTGCAACAGCTTTTTCAGCATCTTCCTCTCGGCGAAACTATAAAAATCATATTTTGTTAAAAATTAATATTCTGCAATTATAATACATTGGTGCACATTATTAAGTCATATTTTTGCTAATTCTATTTTGTTTGTAATTATATTTTAGTGTTATATGTACAGTACATATTTACAATCACCTGACAATGTCATAACAAGAGCTTGACAGATAAATTAAAAGACAATTAATATAAGTTATCTTTAATGCTTTATAAATAATTTTTATAAATTTATATTGCATATATTTGCAACAAATGTCATAAAACACAAGTGCAAACATATAGTCAAAATTAATTCTTAAAATAATCAGTAATCCTTTTTGTTTCATTGCACATCTAGCCTTTACAGAAGCAATATTGCAAACTGTATGCAAGAATAGCAATTGTTTCCTCAGCTTCTTCCTGTACTTTGGACCATTCAATGCACTTTGATAGTATAATTTCAGCTTCATTTACAGAAGATCGTGGTTATATCTGTTGTCACAATTTCATCTTCCCAAGATAACATGCTTAAGTTTTTCTGCCATTTTAATAATATTCACTCTAGGATAAAAAATTTAAATAACAACACTTTAACTTAACGTACTCGCTTTTGCAATAGTTAACAAAATCAAAAAGCATGACTACTGGGATCTGGACAACTAAGAGACAGAGCTACAAGACTGCTGTTCTGAACCATGGGTTCGTAGTTGGCCATGAACCCCAGGAATCTATCACAGATATGTTGTTTTTACTCTTTCTATTCTGTAGTGTCTGCAGAGCAGAAAGAGTATTAAAAAAAAAACACTGTTACTAACTTCCAACAACTTCTAAAGCAATAAGGAATAAGTATATGCTGCTATTACTGCTGTAAAACTATTCATACATTGACAGACTCTAATAATGTGACAATTAACAGATACTGATGAATAATAGAGTGACGAATAAAATTTTTTTTGTATTTGATTATTTGGAGATTGATAATATAATAACTAATACAATCATTTTTTTATCATCACAATTTATCATTTAAGACTAATTTTCTGAGTGAGAGGCTGAGACTTCAGAAAAGGATTGGCTGACCTAGATTTTAGCGAGAGAATGTTTTAAATAAAATAAAATAAAAGCCTCTCTCTGACTAATCATTTCAACTTAATTCTTTTTATATGTATATATGCTTGTATGAGCATATAACTATTTTTTAAATAGGTATGGTATCAAAGTTTTTCATTATCTAATTTTTATTAAACTATTCACAATTATGGATATAGTGAGATAACAGTTTTAAAATGATGACAGTTGACAACTATTGAATTCTATGCATGTAGTGAATAGCAAAATAAATATCAAATTCAAATTTTCTTGAAATAAAATTTCTAAAATAGTAATTTTTTAATTTAAATATTCTTTCGTGCATTTGTAATAGTGTCTCATACAAATGTAGTATTATCTCAGCTAAGCTTATAGACATTTATACTAGAAAATTTATATGTAAATGCAAACATACTAAATTATTCATTTTATAAAGAGTTTATACATTCCAAATGAATAAGATTTAATTTAAAAATATTCATAACAAAAAATATAAAAATAAAATTTATAACTGCCAATCTGTCAGATTTTATCAAGCTATATTTTAAGTCTATTTAATAATGAGAATCAAAGCAGTTAGGCTGTCATCCCTTGATAAATTTAATAATTAAAAATAAATTAATTATAAAACTTAATTTAGACTATTTTGGTTTTTGCTTGTATATATTAGTAATGATTTTAAGTTTTATTTATATTTATTTTACCTACATACATACATACATTAAGTGATATGAATGAAATAAAATTGATATAATGCAAAAAAATTATAGATTTATCATAAATCACTTTTTTGGTCTTTGACAATGTGTGTCAACAACTAACTCATCAGCCTATCAAATAATAATTTGTGTAACTATTTTTCTAGCTGTTAAATGATGTATTAAAAATAATTATGAGAAGTTGTTTATAATTATAATCAATTCTTTATGAATTTTCATACTTTACATCAAAAAATGATCATTTTATTGTCATCTAATATGTTAATGCAATATTATATATTTTTATTTTAAAATCTTGAATTATTAGTTCAAAACTTGACCTGCACTTCTGCTTGCTGTTCAGTTGCATGTTCAAGTCCCATTTCAGGCAAATTCTTCTGTTCCAAAATAGTCTAAATTAAATTTTACAATTAATTTATTTCTCATTATTAAATTTATCAAAAGATGGCAACCTAATTGCCTACTTCTAGACAAATTATTTTTATTATGATCATTAAGTAGCTTTAAAATATAGCCTGATAAAATCTGGCATATTGTTTGGCAATCTTAAAGTATCAGGTTGTTGTAATTTACGTATTACATCATTATTATTTATAAAAGAAAAAAAATCAAAGGATGTGGTATAAATATTCCATTATTTTCTTGTTTATATATATAGTAAAGTTAAAACCCAAGTCAAGTCTAGAAATTTTAATGATTTCAATTAAACCAATGGATTTTATACAAGATAATAATATTAGCTACCCAAACAAAATAATAATATAATTTAATAACCTTAAAATTGAATGTTTTTAATTTTTAATTAGCAAATTCATTTTAACAAAGTTACTTATAAATTTAAATTAAATCAATAATAAAAGTACATAAAATAACTATACTAATCTATACAAATAAATACAATCTTTAAACTTATTATTTATTTTTATTAGCACCATAACATTATCTTGTCATGTTTGTTTCATATTTTATTTTTACAACTATATAATTTTATGGTGAGACCTAAATTTATCATAACTTCATTAAAAAATACTAATTGAAACTTTATAATAATAAATTATTCACTATTTGGAACTGACATAAAATAGAATTATCATTATACAGAAACCTGTTTGTTTTGAACTAATAATTCAAGTTTTTAAAGTAAAAGTATATAATATTTTATTAACATGATATTAGATGACAATAAAATTATCATTTTTTGATGTAAAGCATAAAAATTCATAAAGAATTAATTATAATTATAAACAATTTCTCATAATTATTTTTATTACATCATTTAACAGCTAGAAATACAGTTATAAAAAAAATCATTATTTGATAGGCTAATGAGTTTTTGACATATTGTCAAAGACCAGGAAAGGGATTAATCTAAAGGAAAAATAAATCTAGAATTTTTTCGCATCACATCAATTTGATTTCATTCATATCACAATGTATATATGTAGGTAAAATAAAACTTAAAATCATTACTAATATATACAAGCAAACCAATTAGTTATTAAATTTTAACCAGTACATACTATATCTGGTTGAGGAAATTTGCAGAAAAGAATATTACAGCAACAGCTGCAAAAACATTTAAAATAAAATAGAGTAATGTCTCAGCTAAACCTACAGACATTAATTGGGAAAATTTGCCCAAATGTAGGGAAATTGTATATTTGAAAAGTGAAAATGAAACCTTGTTTACATTGTTTCTGAGTTTCATAAATCGTATGAATGTTATCATCATAAATAAATTTTGCATTTTTGGACACTAAAAATCTGTTAAATAATGCTCTGTACTAAAAATAGGTCTTATATGGAATCAGTAACAATTTCAATTTTATTTCTGTTATATCAAGTTTATAACTGTATATGCTATACTTTGATGATGACACATGTTTAAAGTATTCTTTTAATTTATAAATTTTTTATGTTAATTTATCAGTTTCAGATTGTTTTACATGGTAAGTGTATTTAATCATTTGTATAATTTAATTTGACTTTTTCAAACTACATAGTGATACTATAATTAGTAAATGGTTCATAACTTGTTGTCTTATTTTGTGTACTAATTTTTGGGAAAATGTTGGATTCTGAAAATATCCATTCTTTGCACTAGCTTTCTATTACAGTGTACTCTCACTAATCTGAACTAATTATTGTATACGGTTGTTTGGATCAGCAAGATTACATATAAAGAAAAGGAAATCAAAAAAGATTACAGACAAACTATATAAAATATATATGTAGAGGGTTCAAAGTCTATACACTTTCTAAAATTTTTAAACCACCTGTTTCAACATCCCTTCTTTGTGTAATCCAAGGCCCCCCCAATGGTAAGGACACCACACAAATGTAAGCAGGGGTTGGCCAGTAGTTAGCACCTGAACTGAATGCGAGATGACTGTAGTTGTGTCAGGAAAACAAAGATAGTGTCTGGTGCTGAAAGCTTCAGATTAATGTGATGGAGCATCTAAACAAAAGCACAAGTTAGGTTTATTTAACTCAAAAACCACTTACACTCAGTACTACTAATACATAAAAACAAATTTGTACATAAGCAGTTTCCAAGACACAGGTAGTAGAATATCAACTATCTCCACAACAAACAGACAAGTTGCTCATCTTACAAACAAAACCTCCAGTACTGATCCTTTGCTATCGCTGAACACTACCAGTTGTAGCTTCACCTCCCTGATGCTAGTTTTTGTGGGGTTTATATCCCTTTTGGTAATGACATTATTGCAGTCCCACACTTCTAGTTTATTTACCTTTCATGGTGCATCTCATGTACGTTTTGCTCAAGTGGAGTTATAATGAGTAGCAAAATTTAAGTTCCTTACACTATTGCACCTGTTTAAACCACAGAAGTAATTGGTACCTATGTGAAGTGACCATGCACAGGCCTCTAAATGTGATTTTAGCATCCCTAAGTGGAAAAATACAAAACTGAAGGAAACTAACAGACAGGCAAAAAAGTCCAATTACAAAATGAAAGGGACTTTTAAAAAATCTCCCAAAAGTTAAAGCAATTGACACCCTGATGACTGCTCTCTCACTGCTTGAGAAACAGGTTTTTCTGTTTCCCACAAAAATCGTCTAGTGTGTCACAGCCTTTAGATGTACAGCACACTGCATGAGGATATCATGGAGGCACAGCTCAGTCAATTTGGCAAAAAATGCCCCTAAAAACTTAGTAGTTACAAAAAATCACTGCTAACAAGTAATCACAGGCTGCTACTGTTTTTTGACTATCCTTTCAAAGAGAATTTTCTACCTAGTCAAAATACAACCAAAATACTTTAAACAAAATTTATGTTTAATACAATACTTTTGTCATTTATTTTCATTTAAAAAGAAAAGAGACTAAGTTCAAAAGAATATATACTTGAAACATTCCCAAACGATCATTCATAAATAAAAACATAATTCATATAATCCTGGATTAATTCATATAATCAATTAATCCTACAACTTTTAGTAAAATTTTAAGGCATACCCTTTTATTTTATCTTTATAGGTTATTCATTTAAAATATTTTTTTATCATCAACAAAGAGACATTTGTTTATTTTATAAAGATAAAAGATAAACGTTTTAGATACACAAGTGATTATATGAAATGTTAGAATAAAACCTGTCAAGTTTGAATTTCATATAACAATCATGGATAGTAAAAGATAAATATTAGATTAAAACATCGTATGCAAGATTACAAAAAGTTGAAATAGTGTTTAATTATATGTATATAAATTTAATAAAGATTATTATTAAAATATTTTTATAGCAATTTCACAATTAAATTTGAAATTAAATAAAAACAGTTGAATGTATCATTTAATTTCAAAATTGTTTCTTTAATCATAATATTTCTGGTAAAACTAGTATTATTATTAACAAATTTGCAAATATGTAATTTGTATTAATTTAAATATTTTTTTAAAATGTGTAAAAAATAATGCTAAATATTTATTTACTATAAAGATATGAATAAACATACTTTTACATATACATTTCCAACCAAGTGATCACCAAGGTTATCACAAACATTCATTTCTTCAATTTCACCATACTGAAAAAAATATATAAATAATTTCTTATTTAAATAATTCATAAAATAATAATTTATCCTTTTAAAAGAATAGAATATGATTTACTACAAATTTAAATTATTGCAAAAGAAAAACATACATTTTGAATAAGTACTTTTATTAACTTGTTAAATCTATCATAAAAACAGAAATAGCAACAACACATACAAATCAATCAAATTTCATTCATTTTTTACATTCTAAAAGTGTAACTTTTAAAACCTGAAGTACCCGTTATTTTTTTATTTTGTTTTGATTAAAAAATTGGAATTGTTTCCACTTATTACACTACATAGCCAAAATTTGTTCAAATTCATTCAGTATTTGTTCTATATCAACATAAAAACTTGAAACTAGTATTTTGTTTAATTTTATGAAATATATTTCAATGTATTCCATTTATCTTAAATGTACATATGTATGACAATCCAAAGTTTTGTCAATAAAAGCTTCAGTAAGCTTAAAAAATGTAAACTTTTTCAAAGTTTACTGAATTTTTAAAATTAGGCATGTTAGAAGCCAATAATTATAACTGTTTATAATTTGTAAACATCTTATTACTACTATTAATCCAAATGTTTATAAAATAAGTCAAATTTTGAAAAATGTGTTTACATAAACTGAACAAAAATGAAAACATTATCTATATCTAGACCATATACAATTAGAGCATATAAAAGCTTGAAGCTTCTACTCCCATAATTTTAAACTTTAACACAGACATAATAAAAACAGAAAAATGTATAACAATTTAAAAAGATTATAATGTGATTTTAAGAATAATTTTTTTTAAAAAATCACATCTTACTTATTTAAACTGCTATATACATATTTACTTCCACTTTAAACTTATACACAGCATACAATTCTTTTATATATAAATGTATTTTTAAATAAAAAAAGGAAAAAAATAATAATAATAAAAAACATTCATTACTTTATCTTCTAGTTCAATAAAAACATCTTCAAAAAAATTGTCAAAATGTTCCTGCATTTCTTCTTCTGACATGTTAGCTAGGAAAAAGGAAATAATAAATTAATTCATTATTCATTTAGTTTTGAAAATTAGTAATTATTTAATTTTCAACAATAAGGTAGCTTCAAAAAAGTTTGTGAAAAATAGACAATTAAAATTCTAATTAATTAATTATAAGCATTTAAATGCAATGGCAAAACAGCATCGTGAAAGTACTATGTCTCTTAAATTAGATGAATGTAAAACAATAGGTCTTAGGCTCTTAACTATATTCTGTTATAATCCAATAAATTCAAACAATTATCATCAAATTTGTGTTTGAGGAAAGAAAAATATTTTTTTATAATATTTAAATCATGCTTAAAAGATTTAGTATTTATTATAACTCAAATTTACATGCAATAGATAAAAGGAATATGCCTTGAATAACTAAGCAGTCCTGGCAACAGAAACATTAAAAGTAGTTTTAAAAGCTGAAGGAAAAGAAGCTTTTAATTACATCAATATTGCAAAAATGTGTAGAAACCAAAGAATTTTATTTCTAATAATATAATATTTATTTCAAAAATCTGTATCTATCAGTTATTATGAAACATTTCAACAAAACTTTTGGAAGCTACCTTATATATTATTCATAAATAATTATTTAATTAATAAATGTTATTAATTTTTTACTGATACATAATAAAAAATCGAATAGCTTTTAATAATTAACTGAATTAAGCACATTTCACAAATATTACATGTAGAAATAAATGTTATTTGCAATAATGATATAATTTTACCAAGAAACCTTTTGTGATTTTATTTTATTTTTTTAATTAAAATTAATATGTTGATGTTGACGATTTTGGAGTAATTTTACATTTCATATTCTCAAATTTTGGAAAATTTTATCAAAATAATAATAAAAATAATATAAATTCTCTTTTTCTCACCTTATGGAATACTGAGGATTGGATTCATGCTTTTCTTTTCCTTCTGTTTTTTAATGACTGGTTTATACTGAATATATTACATAAACTTAAAATTCCAATGCCACAATTTGCAAAGAAATCTAGAATTTGATTTTGGTTAAGGAAGTTGAAATTTTTAATATTGCAACATTTACAGGTCTCTATAAAATCCAAAAACATTTTACAAACAAAAATTCTGTACATAATAAATTTAATGTGTATTTATACTGATTTTCTAAAAAGAAATCTTTTAATATGCTTTAAAGTTTGTAAAATGCCAGAGATAATATGTCTACAGAATTCTGGAAATGTTCCAATATATTAAAATTACATCTTCATTAACAAAATTTCATTCTAATTATTCTGAAGAGTTATAGATAACAATGGATATCACAAAATTCTCAACAATATAATAAACTAAACATTTTACTTAAAAGACAGCAAAATGGATTTTCAGATATCTATCCTATCAACAACTAACAGTGTACATTGGTAAACATTTAAATCTAGCTTTCATAATTTCTAATTATAACAACAATGCTCCACAATGAAAAGAGTTTCCAAATTGAAGTATGTTTCAGAAGATAACTTTCTGCAAAATTATAATGTTTAAAGTATTTTTGATGAAATTAAAAACTAAATTAATGATAAATTAAAAGATCCTATATTTAAAAAAAAGTCTTTTAATTAACATTTTAAATTATTCTATTTTATTAAGAAGAACTTAAAGTACTTCTAATATACTGCTGATGCTATAGTCAAGAGTTTTATGTGCTATTAGATAAACTAATCAAAAATTTAAAAAACTAAAATAAACCCATGCTATTACATTATATTAAATTTTTGAATTAATTAACATATATATTTTAAAATCAAACAACATTGATTCCTAACAATATTTAGTATACTTTTCTAGTCCAATGTAACTGAATTATGTAAATCTACATTTAAAACTTTCCTAATCTCTATAGTACCATAATTATAATTATTATTATTTAATAAGAAGTTCTGTTCACTTGAAAATCAAGTCAATTTAAAAAATAGCAATGGCAGCAAACAGCTGAAAAATGTAAATATTAACATCAACACAACATTTTTACTGTTTATTACTTGAAAAATTATAATTTTGCAAGTAATAAACAGTTTATGCTTTTTTTCTTATTTTAATAAAATACAAATTTTATATAGTATTATTATCCAGATAGAATTTTCTAATTTGATTTCAATTTAAATTATGTCAAATAACTTTTCAATACTTAAAATTTTGTTAAAAACAAAAACAAAAAAACCTATTGAAATTGTAGACTAATTAAAAATTAAACTTGTTGCACACTTTATTCATACCCCATCAAGTTAATGAAACTGAAATCTATTGGTGATGCTGACATCTAATGTATTATTTCTTTAATTTTAGAATCAATCATAAAATAATAAAATTATATAAAATTTTGGCCTCACAGCTATTATATATCTATCATTTTGAAAAAACACTAGCATTAAAGTACTAACAGAAATTTGAAAATAAACAGATTTTTACTTTTGAAGTTATCATAAAACCTGTAACTTTTTGGAAAATTGAAAAATGTAACTGAAAAGGCATATATAACAGTAGCTGTAAAATCTGTTGTAATGAAAACAATTTCATCTGTAATAGAAATTACATCCAAAAAACAAAAACTTGAGAAATTTTATGAATCAGTAATTTGGAATAAAAATTTTCAAGATCTTTATCAANTTTCTCACCTTATGGAATACTGAGGATTGGATTCATGCTTTTCTTTTCCTTCTGTTTTTTAATGACTGGTTTATACTGAATATATTACATAAACTTAAAATTCCAATGCCACAATTTGCAAAGAAATCTAGAATTTGATTTTGGTTAAGGAAGTTGAAATTTTTAATATTGCAACATTTACAGGTCTCTATAAAATCCAAAAACATTTTACAAACAAAAATTCTGTACATAATAAATTTAATGTGTATTTATACTGATTTTCTAAAAAGAAATCTTTTAATATGCTTTAAAGTTTGTAAAATGCCAGAGATAATATGTCTACAGAATTCTGGAAATGTTCCAATATATTAAAATTACATCTTCATTAACAAAATTTCATTCTAATTATTCTGAAGAGTTATAGATAACAATGGATATCACAAAATTCTCAACAATATAATAAACTAAACATTTTACTTAAAAGACAGCAAAATGGATTTTCAGATATCTATCCTATCAACAACTAACAGTGTACATTGGTAAACATTTAAATCTAGCTTTCATAATTTCTAATTATAACAACAATGCTCCACAATGAAAAGAGTTTCCAAATTGAAGTATGTTTCAGAAGATAACTTTCTGCAAAATTATAATGTTTAAAGTATTTTTGATGAAATTAAAAACTAAATTAATGATAAATTAAAAGATCCTATATTTAAAAAAAAGTCTTTTAATTAACATTTTAAATTATTCTATTTTATTAAGAAGAACTTAAAGTACTTCTAATATACTGCTGATGCTATAGTCAAGAGTTTTATGTGCTATTAGATAAACTAATCAAAAATTTAAAAAACTAAAATAAACCCATGCTATTACATTATATTAAATTTTTGAATTAATTAACATATATATTTTAAAATCAAACAACATTGATTCCTAACAATATTTAGTATACTTTTCTAGTCCAATGTAACTGAATTATGTAAATCTACATTTAAAACTTTCCTAATCTCTATAGTACCATAATTATAATTATTATTATTTAATAAGAAGTTCTGTTCACTTGAAAATCAAGTCAATTTAAAAAATAGCAATGGCAGCAAACAGCTGAAAAATGTAAATATTAACATCAACACAACATTTTTACTGTTTATTACTTGAAAAATTATAATTTTGCAAGTAATAAACAGTTTATGCTTTTTTTCTTATTTTAATAAAATACAAATTTTATATAGTATTATTATCCAGATAGAATTTTCTAATTTGATTTCAATTTAAATTATGTCAAATAACTTTTCAATACTTAAAATTTTGTTAAAAACAAAAACAAAAAAACCTATTGAAATTGTAGACTAATTAAAAATTAAACTTGTTGCACACTTTATTCATACCCCATCAAGTTAATGAAACTGAAATCTATTGGTGATGCTGACATCTAATGTATTATTTCTTTAATTTTAGAATCAATCATAAAATAATAAAATTATATAAAATTTTGGCCTCACAGCTATTATATATCTATCATTTTGAAAAAACACTAGCATTAAAGTACTAACAGAAATTTGAAAATAAACAGATTTTTACTTTTGAAGTTATCATAAAACCTGTAACTTTTTGGAAAATTGAAAAATGTAACTGAAAAGGCATATATAACAGTAGCTGTAAAATCTGTTGTAATGAAAACAATTTCATCTGTAATAGAAATTACATCCAAAAAACAAAAACTTGAGAAATTTTATGAATCAGTAATTTGGAATAAAAATTTTCAAGATCTTTATCAATGTTTATTTAATGAATTTATTTTATAAAAAACAGCATAAAATTAGTATTAGAAAATTTGATAATTTCTTCTTCATTGATACCAGAAAAATACAGCAGCAAAAAACTATTTATTTTAAAATATTTGTTAATGTACATTATGTAAATAAAGTATACAGAAGGTTTGAAAAAAAATATATGCATTTCGAGAAATGAAAATGCATATAAATTTTTCTTTTAAGCAGAATGTATTTCAATATTCTTGAATAAATCTTATTCTGTTGATTTTCTAAAATTCAATTTGTTAGATTTTATGAAATAATGCACATTTACAATGAATAAATTTAAGCTTTCAATATTAAAAAAAAATAATAATAAATGTTTTTAATTGAATGATACTATTAATTAGAATGATTTCACTTATAAATGTTTATTTATTCAATACTTATAAGTAAAATCATTCCAATTAATATTATATATTAACCCTTCTACGACAATGTAGAAGGCTTCCTCCTGTTACAAGGGCGTTTTATTTTAAAGAAATGCATATTAACATCTCATATAAAAATATTCTAATATTATTAATATTTTCTACTTACTAATCTATATAATTATATTAATAATTTGTCATAATTATTATTTAATTAGTTGTTTAATGTAATTGTATAACATATAAATCGTGTTAACGTTAGCTCTATCTAATGTCTTATACATTTCCAACTCACTAGTACAATTAGCCAGCGGCCCAATCTGAAGCCTTTGTAGTTTATCTTTGTCATTACAATTTTCACATATAATATGAATTTTAGTTAAATTTTTGGTACAATTTGAACATTTAGATTAGGTGTAATCTATATATTTATCATTTATAATTATTCCATTTTTATTTAACCTAATCTGTATAAAAAACTTTTTATTGTTAAAAAATATATTTGTCAATATATAGTTGTTATTTACTGGATAATTTAGAATTGTTGCATACCAGCTTGTGTTTTCTCGTTTTTGTACATTTCAACGTCTTGGATAATAGAGTATTCCATAACTCTATGTATTATTTCTTTACTATACTGCTCCATATCATACATATGATCCATAAACAGTTTAACAGAAAATCCATATTTATTTACTATCTTTGATAACTGAATTATCCAACTTCGTCTTAAGTCCGTTTCTCTTGATTTGTGATATAGTAAGAACTTCTATGACGACGTGACAATATATCAGCATGTTTCAGCTAAAGCCAATCTGACTTCAGCTGAAACACAAAATGACAATATTTCATCATTTTGAAAAATGTCTAATTTTAATCAAAAAATTCTCTGCATTATTTTACTTGCATTTGGTGATATTTTATTGCTGCTCGTTGCCTTAAGTTATATATGTATTTTATTAATTTATTTTTCTAATTTTTTGTCTTAATTTTATTTATTTATTTATTTTTTTCAAACAAAGAAAACGTGTACCAGTCAATTTTTTTTGTAGTCATTTTACTGTTTAACAATTTCGGTATTTACCACTTATTACCTATAAGTTTATATATAATATATATAGTTATTTATTATTTTTCTTATTTTTGTTCTAGTTTTATTTTATTTACTTGTTTTCTCAAACAAATAAAACATGTTCACTAATCAATTTTTTTTGTAGTGGTGTGTTGTATTGTTCTGTAGTTTTGATTTTTCTGCTTACTGCCTAAAATGAAACATCCTACTAACCAAAAAAGAGTTTATTGAAGAGAGACAGAAAATAGTATATATGAACTGTTTCATATAAAATGATATTGTTCACAAAAAAAATAGATAAATATGCATAAATCTTATATCATGTACAAAACAATATTATCTTTTGTGCTCGCTGGCTTGGTGCCAAAAACAAATAATGAAATTGAACAGTTTTATTTTCTGTCAAAGTAAAGTAATTTATAACATCAAAAATTTAGGTCATAATTTAACTTTTTTTTTGTAAGTAATTTTTACTCCAAACAATTATACATTATTGTGCCAAAAACTACATAAAGTAATAAATATATGCAAGTTTTTTTTGTATCTCTATTATAAAAATTTAATTTTTGGTGAATTTTTAGAATAAAATACATAGTGACCTGAGTGACTACAATTTGGATTGGTGTTTTAAAGGGTAAAATACAACTGACCATGTCATAGTAAAAGGGTTAAATTTTGTTTCTGCATAACTGGATTAAAATCAAAACACCAAAACATTCAAAAGTGTGATGACAAAACATATTAATGAAAAATATTTCAGAATTTGATTAATAAATGATTCATACTAAACAATAATTTTGTTAAAATTTTCTAATTGATACTAATTTTTAATAATTAGTTATTCTGTATGATAAATTGATGAAAAGTTGAAAAGCAATTTCAAGTTATTGTAAAATACAGATTTTAGTTTAAGTTTTATTTTAATCATTTCATAATAAATATTTAATGAAATGTCTGAACAGTTGAAGATATAAGCATTTCTTTTATAATTTTCATTGTGTTTATTTTAAAAATTATAACTACCTGAAATTTTCAAATAATTTTAAAAATGATTTTAACTGTTTTATAAAAATTAAAATAATAATATCCAAATTAAAAAGTATACTTACCATGAAGCTTTGCAACTTGAATAAAAATATCCAAACATGGTTCAGTTACTTGTTACAGAGAGTTATCATGTTAAAAAAAATTTATATGAATATTTAACACAAGTGATTACAAAATATTTTAAAATACTTATTTACTACTAATTAAAATTTTAGTATTATCAAATATTTTAAACAATTAAATTAAAATCATATGCTGTCAAAATTAATTAACTACAATTCTGGTTTTATACAGACATGTGTAAGAATAATATATATGACAGTAAATTGATAAATAATGGCAACAATTTTCTTTTAATCTCAAAAACTATAAAATGTATCTGGAATATTTAATGCTCTTTTTAATCTTCATTAAATTACAAACAATTTAATACTATTTCCATAACTGTAAACATAGTAATTCCAGCACAATACTGGCAACAGAGTCATTTGACATATCCTCTGCAGTCTGCTGTCTTGATTAAAGCAAGTGATATGTGAAAATTGCTAAACATTGAACAACAGGAAATTAGTGTTACAAAAAAATTGGTAAAAACTGAAGACACAAATGCTCTTTCTTATTGTTCAGTGGCAAGATAGTTTAAACTATCTAAAGGGCAGGAGTGAATGCCAATATCTAAAGGGCAGATGTGAATGCCATTCATCTTCACAACACTGTTACTATGCTCTGAGACCTATGAGGTTCAACTATATGTCAAATTGTAATAAAATAAGATTAAAATAAATATTTGATAATTTGCATGTGTTGTAGATTTTGAAATAAGAAACAGTGCCACTATTTATCAATTGCTCCAAGTAGTAATAAAGTTTGTAATGAAAATATAAAATACTTAATTTTTTCATGATAGAACAGCAGCACAGTTATGTAAAATCAATTCTCAAATATTTAAATTCACTTTAGAATATTTAAATTTGCCATACAATCTCTTAAATCTATTCCATCTTATTACATCATAATCACATTGTTTTTTGTAAAATTTTAGATAAGGTTAAATTTTTTAAAATTTATCAATAAATTAAATAAATGATGAAATTCATAAAATATATAGCTTTTATTCTGACTAATACAAATATTTGTATTAGTCAGAATTGTAGTTATCATTATCGTTAATACTTATATTGCTCTAAATGATTTAATTTAGCTTCAGTTCTGTTTTCAATTTCAATATCCTAACTATATTTTTTATATTATTTTTCACAGATTAAATATATTAATTTTTTCATTTAAAATAAACTTATATATATTTTTTTGTTCAGTAGTGACGTTTCAGAAAAATTTTGATGTACTTTTATTTCATTTACTAAGTATTTATTTAGTACTATTTTATACAGTACAGTTTAGCAAAGAGAATCACATTTTACATTCATTTTTAAGCAAAGTTTATTAATGTTTAAATAAATAAAGCTATTTTAAATACTTTGCATATTTAACCTAATGTGAACAAAATGGCTAATAATGTCTAAGAGCTAAAGTTGTGAATGTTACTAGGGCATTGGTATCTGATATGTTTTCCTCATATTGCTTCATATAACTAATTATTTGTGTCATTTCCCTTTTTAACTCACAATTCATATATATGAGTGAATTTAAAATTATCAATTTCTCCAGACACTATTTTCTTCATGACATAAACTAATTCTTTCCTTCATGAATTTTGTTAGTGAAAGTATCATATTATTTAGTCTTATTAATAATTAATTTAACTCATTTGACTTTACCCATTGCCATTTTTCTATTATTTAACAAATTATGTTTTCTTCAGAATATATTTTAATTTATTGAAGAGTTAGGTGAATAAAAAACTGCTTTTTAGGAATTTTTGTTGTTCTAATTAACCTGCCACAACGTAGGACAGCTACGTTGTTCCCAAAAATATTCATGTTGACCTCATTGACCTGCATGGGTGATCCCAAATATTTTCGTGTTTACATCAGAACATTTTTGATACTAGATGTCGCCATGCATCACAATTTTTATATGAAAACAAACTTTTAAAATATAATTATTTTTGTTTCTATATTATTCAATATATTTATTTTGTTTGTGAAACATAAAAAAATAATTTTTTACGATACAGTAAACACGATTATTATTTTAAAAAAATATATATTTTAAACTTAACATCGACGAAAATTCAACGTGGTGTCACAGGCAACAAATAAAAATTTCAACATCGAACAGGTTAAATAAAAAACCCAAAAATGTTTTTGCAAATTATTATATATAAAATTCTACTTGTTAAGAAGAAAGCAACATTTTACAATAAGAACAGAATGCACACAAATTTAACACATTAATCATACTATTAATACTTTTTTATTTTTCAGAAATAAGCCAAACAACTACCGGATAACAATAGAACTACTTTCTGCAATTATATTTAATAAATTAATTAAATATAATCACAGAAAAGTAGCCCGATGTTATCCGGTAGTTGTTTGTCCTATTATACATGTATCAGGTTTAGAGATGTTTGTATATGTATTTATTTTTCAGTACGCTTAAAAATAAACTATATCACATGCTTTACAGAAAAAATACAAATGTAGTTTATTTTTCTCAACTTTAAAGAACAATATTTAAACTTTCTAAACGAAGTGACACAACAAGACCATAGTTTAACAAATTGTCAAAAAACCTGATGAGCAGAATTAGCATTTGAAGACAAAAATTAATTTGGGTATTTGGAATGTACGGAATTAAAGCTACAAAAAAAAAAAAATATTTAATCCATTCAACTAAAAACAGTTGAATGGTAGTTAGTAAATTAAGTTATGTTTTATATTCAATAAAAAAAATAACCACTATAAAATGCATATTTATAATCCCTGATTATCCTACCTTCAGGTTTCACTAAACAATTCAGTAGCTGAAGAGATTAGTCAATAATTCGTCAATAATTCAACATTTACTAGACCATTTAATTAATAATCTTGATAATTAATTTGTTTAACTGTAGTCTTACTTAAGATTTAAGTAAGAAAAAATTAAAATGTTCATATAATTATACAATGATACTGTTCTTTAATAAAAGAACAATGTAAATCTTTTATATATAAAAAGCAGACCCCGCCACGCGTTGTTGTGGCTCAAAATGTATCTATTATAAATGTATAACACTTCCCCCATGCAGGAGGGGGATTTTTTTGAAAAATCCCTTCTTAGTGTACATTCTCTTGACATACCCTATTAAAACGCAATCAAAAACGCAAAAAACTGCATCTAAAATAGTATAATAGAAGCAGAGTTCCTTATGGTAAGCCTTAATCCTGTCCATCCCCCCAATGGGGGGAATTTCGACATGTATATTATATAAAAACACATGCGTATGCAAATGCAGCGTTGTGTCAAAATTTCAAAGGAATCAGTAGGAACAAACAAACATTACATTTTTATTTATATAGATAGATAGACAGAAGATGATCTGCTTTAGTTCATCCTCACAGAAAAGCAAACTTAGGTTGTCGTACTCGTAGCACCACCTGTTGGACATAAAAGCCTTAATCCTAGAGGATATCTTTTAATTTATATGAATGTTTAATGGAATAATATACAGCCTATGTCCACCCTGAAGTTCCATTCTAAATATTGGTGAAAAAATTTTTGAAATCGGATGAGTAGTTTCAGAGATTACCCCTACACACAAACTTACAAACATTACCTCTTTATAATTAATATTAATTAATATTAGTATAGATGTAATTTAGTATCAATTTTTTATATAGACATAAAATGTGAAAGGTGATTCTCTTTAAATATTGTAAATCAATCATGTAATTCATATTTAAATAGTGTAACTCAATAAGCAAAATTTAAGTTTGCATGATAAACTGAACCTATCTGGGAGCAAAATCTGAGTTAATAAATTTTTACTGNGCGATAACTCGAAAAGTTCCTTTATTTTATACAAGAAAGAATTTGAGACGAAAAATAAATAGAATTTAATAGATTTTTGCTTAAAAAAGCATCTTTAGATTTGGAAATTTAAAAGTTTTAAATATCAAACACAAAATAGAGAAGTTTTAATTAGTTAAATTTAAGTTTTCTTCGAGTTTTCGTCTCCAAATTTATAGTTAAAAATCACTTTTAATTTTAATATATGCTATTTTTTTATAATCAGTTGTTAATTTACTTTCGTTGCCTTTAAAAACGATAAATTACACCACTAAATGCCGAATGTCCTATATTTAATCTTTATTTTAATACAGTCGAACCTCCAATTTCAGTAACGTTTCTTTCTTAAATGAATACAAAATAACCTTCAAAGAACGGCCATTTTTTTTAAATATTCCCGTCTTCACATGTTTGAAATAATTTGATAAAAATACATTTAATTAACTCAAAAATTAAATTAAAAAATAAAATATTCTTAGAAATTAACGAATTTCACGAAAAGCACCAGAAAAAATTAATAATTTAATCGATAAATTCCATGAATATGATTATTTTTAAAAATAACCAATCAGAGGTAGAGATAATAACTAAATTTTCAATTATTAATCAACTAGAGTGTTGATTGGTTATTGAAATTGATCAATTAGTTTATTTGTTGAAATAATTTTTATCCATTAAGTAGGCGGTGCCTTTTTTTTTTAAGTAGCCAATCATATTAACATTATAGACTTCGTATGAAGTACTAAAAAATAAAAGTGTTAATTAATATTTTAAAAATTCAAAATTTCTAAACCACAATAATTTCAATAATGCTTTATCTAACATCTTACCTGGCTAAAAGTAGGTTTATTGTGAATACGTGAACATCTGTCTCCATGTCGACATGCTCCAATTTTAAAATAGAAAGAACAATTAACTCTGAAAGATAACAAAAGGTAACAACTTAATATTCAATTTCTCTTTTCAACTATTTTTTATAAACTGTAAGCCTTAAGAAATTATAATTTAATCGATACCATAGATAACTAATTTGAATGGCATGATAAACCATTAGTTTTTAATGTTGTAATGCTAATTGTTATCTTACAGTCATTCATCTTAGTTTCTTCCCATTACCATAGAGAATAAAACAATTTTAATGTGCCGTCAAACCTGTCTAAGATCAAACTCTCTTAATTCACTCAAAATGGTGGATCACAATTTGGGTACTAGTAACATTTTATTTTATTCCACCTTCTCCTTTACTGCATAACTTTTCATCAATGAGTGTAAAATTAAACTCTCTTGCTCAAAAGATGTGTTTTCTTTTCTAAAATTCATGGTTTTGCATCATTTCTGTTTTGTTATAGTTTTTCTAATACTTATGCTGGAACTTACATATAAGAAATCACACCATCAATACCTTTTTCAGCAACAACATTTCACAAGTTAGCCAGCAGCAGCAACACCTCACAAGTTAACTTGTGAAGTGTTGCTGCTGCTGGCTAACTTGTGTCAGAGATGTAAGCCAAAAACATTTTGATCTATTGATACATTTTATGTAATAAATAAAACATAAAATATGTAAGTATTGAATATTAAGTCAGAAATCATAGTATGATAAAATAGGGAACAGCTTTATGTGGAAAAATTCCTAAATAGGCTAACATTTTTGGTTAGCTTTACTAGCCATCATCAGGATTCAGATCCAACTTAAACAGAAATCAACAAAATACAAACGTTTGGCAAACAGAATATATAAACCAATTATCGTAGAGCATTGTTTATCCGCATCAATTGGGGACTGGAGTTGTTCGGATAACTTATTTTTCAGATAACCAATTATGTACGAAAATATATATTAACCTATTTATGTTGAAATTTTTCTCTGTTGTGTGTTGCTTCATGTCAAATTTTCATTGATGTTAAGCCTATATATTGAAAAATATAAAAACAAAAAAAGTTATACAGTCGACCCCCCTATAATTACGGTCCCTATAATTACGATTCCTATAAAACTACGAAAAAATATACGTATTTTGGAAATGTTGAGTCGGATTAGTGTAGAATCGATTAATTTTATGGAAGAAAACCTTTCAATCAGCCGTAGTNAACACCTCCCTCTAGTGACAAATTATTTAGAAATTAATTAAATATAATCACAGAAAAGTAGCCCGATGTTATCCGGTAGTTGTTTGTCCTATTATACATGTATCAGGTTTAGAGATGTTTGTATATGTATTTATTTTTCAGTACGCTTAAAAATAAACTATATCACATGCTTTACAGAAAAAATACAAATGTAGTTTATTTTTCTCAACTTTAAAGAACAATATTTAAACTTTCTAAACGAAGTGACACAACAAGACCATAGTTTAACAAATTGTCAAAAAACCTGATGAGCAGAATTAGCATTTGAAGACAAAAATTAATTTGGGTATTTGGAATGTACGGAATTAAAGCTACAAAAAAAAAAAAATATTTAATCCATTCAACTAAAAACAGTTGAATGGTAGTTAGTAAATTAAGTTATGTTTTATATTCAATAAAAAAAATAACCACTATAAAATGCATATTTATAATCCCTGATTATCCTACCTTCAGGTTTCACTAAACAATTCAGTAGCTGAAGAGATTAGTCAATAATTCGTCAATAATTCAACATTTACTAGACCATTTAATTAATAATCTTGATAATTAATTTGTTTAACTGTAGTCTTACTTAAGATTTAAGTAAGAAAAAATTAAAATGTTCATATAATTATACAATGATACTGTTCTTTAATAAAAGAACAATGTAAATCTTTTATATATAAAAAGCAGACCCCGCCACGCGTTGTTGTGGCTCAAAATGTATCTATTATAAATGTATAACACTTCCCCCATGCAGGAGGGGGATTTTTTTGAAAAATCCCTTCTTAGTGTACATTCTCTTGACATACCCTATTAAAACGCAATCAAAAACGCAAAAAACTGCATCTAAAATAGTATAATAGAAGCAGAGTTCCTTATGGTAAGCCTTAATCCTGTCCATCCCCCCAATGGGGGGAATTTCGACATGTATATTATATAAAAACACATGCGTATGCAAATGCAGCGTTGTGTCAAAATTTCAAAGGAATCAGTAGGAACAAACAAACATTACATTTTTATTTATATAGATAGATAGACAGAAGATGATCTGCTTTAGTTCATCCTCACAGAAAAGCAAACTTAGGTTGTCGTACTCGTAGCACCACCTGTTGGACATAAAAGCCTTAATCCTAGAGGATATCTTTTAATTTATATGAATGTTTAATGGAATAATATACAGCCTATGTCCACCCTGAAGTTCCATTCTAAATATTGGTGAAAAAATTTTTGAAATCGGATGAGTAGTTTCAGAGATTACCCCTACACACAAACTTACAAACATTACCTCTTTATAATTAATATTAATTAATATTAGTATAGATGTAATTTAGTATCAATTTTTTATATAGACATAAAATGTGAAAGGTGATTCTCTTTAAATATTGTAAATCAATCATGTAATTCATATTTAAATAGTGTAACTCAATAAGCAAAATTTAAGTTTGCATGATAAACTGAACCTATCTGGGAGCAAAATCTGAGTTAATAAATTTTTACTGTTCACATAAAACTCTAGAACAATCCTAAAACAAGACTGAGTTTACCTTCATTTTTTTATGTTCCATCTTTTCCATATTATCTAAGTTTTTGATTATCCAAAATAGATTCAGCCCCATTTATATCTATTATATAATAATATACTGTAATAATAACATCTAACACTACTAAATTTGATATGTATTAAATTATTGGAATATTTGTAATAAAGAAAAAAAACTTACAATGCGATCCATCTGCTGACTGAGCTGAATTCTGAGGATTATGATAGAGATTTTGCAACAGAACAGTCTAAATAATCAAAGATTAAATTTTTCAGTACATATAAAATAAGTGTTTTATAATTAATAACAAATAAAATTATTTATTTATAAATTTGATTATAATTTACTTTTTTATTAAATTATTATTAACTTAAATCATTAACTGGTTGCTACTACAAATTTTTTTACAAACATCAATTAATAGCAAAAAACAATATTCATATTAAAAAATTCAACAGCATACTAATCCATAGATCAGTTATCTTTAAAAAATATAATAATAAATAAAATAAAAAAATATTTTTAACAGGTTGGAAGTTTTATAGATTTTGAATATTGCTTTATGGATTCTTCCTGTATATTTTTTTCTCATCCTTCTCTTAATGCACTAATAGTAATCAATCATAATACAGTCGATTCTGCTTAATTAGGACATGGGACTAATCCATTTTGACCCAATTAAGCAGCTGTCCCAATTAAACAAACTAATAATAAATTCTAAAATAAAATATGTAATATGTAGGTAAATAAATAAATAAGTAGGTAAAAATAATAATTAGGTACCTATTTTAATGCTTTATTAAACCAAAATACTGAAAATATTTGTACTATAAATTTGCCAGACTCACGATGATAGATAACTGATTCGCATCATCCTAGTGTTGCCAAATACAGTATTAGTAGTGATGTACACAAGGGTTGACCATTCAATTCGTTTCTGATCGAATGATTTTTCCTTTCTCCTTCTTCCTTATTAGTTAGAACATGTTCTAACTAAAAAGAGAGAAAGGAAAGGGTTCATCCAAAAGTTACCTTATGGTCTTCCTTAAAGCAAAGGTCTCTTTACTTGGAGATAGGGCCACTTCAGCATGAGTGTCCATAGAATCCGCCAGCTCCAGATGCTGGTCCCAATGATCGGATGGCTGCTGTTCGAATCTAGACGTAATTATGCACACAATACCTTCCAAGAAAACTCTAGCTGTCTTCCAACCAGTTGAGAAACCTTAAAAAATTGTCCAGGGATCTTTGTCCCTTCACTTTTAAAGGGATCATCTGGTCCACCCAGAACAGGATCAGTAGCTCACATTCAGGTCCATCTAAGACGAGATCCCCATGTGATACATCCTGCTAAGGTGATCCCCTTCAGAAAAACTGAACTGCCTGATCGAAAGACAAAATCGCTTTGTCTTTGCCAATCATTAGGCCTACACGACATTAGTGTATGTAGTGTCTACATATTTTTGGAAGATCCCTAAAATATATATCAAAACTTGCTAAATTCCTTTTCTGCTACTGTCCCAATTAAGCAATTAAATTATGCATTAATTTATTAGTTTGGTTTCTGTTGTTTGGGATTTGGACCAATAAAGCAGCTGTCCCGATTAACTGGTGGCCCAAGTAAACAGAATCGACTGTATATATTCCAGTATTGCTGTGTCTGTTCCATTTCTTTTATCTTATGATAAACTTCTTTGTTGTATTCTTCACTTACTACAGCTAAGTTATCAAGAAAATGCTCTAAATAGAAATGCAAGAAATAAATTTTCAGGTTCATTTTGCATTCAAAATTTTCTAACAAGCATTCCACAAATATAATCTTTAAACACAAAAAGAGGGGTTAGGTTCTGAAAATTAAAAAACATGCTGTTAAATCCTTATTTAAATCAGATTTATTATTCATTTTTTTCATAGGTAAAACACTCATTTATTACTTAAGTAAATATTTTACCAAAGGATTATTCATCTTATATGATGATCTCAGCATGAGCATCATCAACTGGTAACAGTTTTTGCATGCGTTTGTTAATAGTGGTAGCTCTGCAATGGAAGTGCGCTGCTTTTTTAAGCATTTAGGAATGACGGTGAAGAAAAGATGGCGGTGACCGCACTATCGATAGTATCGTGATGGAGGAATCTATAATTCTAAAATGAGCTTTCAGAAGCAAAATAAGGGTCCCAATTGTAAAATTTAACCATTAAATGGATTATTTGTTGAAATAGCATTCAAAGAAGCCACAAAAACAATTAGAATGCTTGCGCGGAGTTACATGGAAATATAAAAGAACGCACCCTTTATTACATTTCATGTTGTACGAGGGTTTTACCCAATTCCTGAACCATGTTAGAATGAACCTGTGCTATAAAAGCACCGTGTTATACGGGGATGTTCCCAATTCTCAAACCGTGATATGTGAATCCGTGCTATAGCAGTGCCGTGTTATACAGGGTTACCTGTACTTCTATCATAATAATGAAAGTGACTATATGTGACAGAAGTCATGACTTTTATCTTTCCAAATAATCTGATAAATTATCTATTCAGGCTAATATCTAATTAGACACAAATCAATTTGGCTAGAGGTAAGCAGTTAAGCTGCCATCTCTTGATAAATTTAACTATGAGAACTTTGTCCCTGAATGAAGCCTAATAACATCTTCCAAATTTGCATTAGATCATTAGCAAACACTAAATTAAAGTGAATTTTCACTCTGGATAAGCAGTGAATTCTTCCCTTTGTTCTAAAACTTTCTAACCTTCATTATAAAACATAATAAACATTGCGTAAGGTAATCCTTTAACATATTACACCTTAAAAAGTTTTTTATGCAAGGGATAATACATTATGATATATATGGTCAATTTTTGATTAAAAATGAATAAAGATCAGTATTAAAAAAAAACAAAATTGGCAAGGGCTTTGCCATATTTCAAAAGTCAGATAGTGCATACTCGTGTACTTGTTTATATTTCTAGAATGCAAAATGTTTCCATTAACCTAACGTTGGTATGACCTTTGGCTTCCCAAAATCACCCATTTTTGGCTAAATTTTAAAATAAAACCTCCAACATAACACACCATTCTATTGTTTCCATTAATGTGCAAAATTTCATTCAAATCAGTCAAGCCACTAATTTGCAAAACATGTTTCAGTGATCTGTCAATATGAAATTGCTGTCGAGGAAGCTTGCTTGCTTCTCTCATTATGCTTCAATAATTAGAATTAAATTAATTTTAAAGTTAGAACATTCTGAAGGAAAGATTTAGTCTAATGTGGAACCTATTTACTACATATACAACTTTCATGCTCAGTATGGTTGATAATAAGAAATAGCTATAAGGCTATAAGTTTGAAAACAGATACCTATAAACCTACATAACTATTAACAACTAAAGTTTCAATTATCAAAAAATCTGGCAACAAATTACATAACTTTCCTGGAAAAAAAGCTAAAATTGTGTGTGGCACCATCTGTTATGACATTTTATTTAAAAACTTTTTATATTATTAATTATTATAAAATGGCAAAAGCTTAATTTTGAAGGTAGAGTTGAGTTCTATAAAAAAGTTGTAAATGTTAATGACTAAAATCTTCATTAAGTCCAACCCTACTAGATATATAAAGCATGAACCGTTTTATCTCCCCACCCCCCTCAACCTTTAACCACCAAAATTTAACAGCATTCATGTCCCTAATAAAAAACCTCCCTGCAAAATTTCAGAAATTTTTGACAAAAAACATGAGAGTTATTCAGCTTCAAAACAAAACAACGTGAACTTTTTTGCATTTTTAAATGTTTCAACATCTGAGAACAAAAATATAAAAATCTTGGAGGGTTATTTTTTGACCAATCACCATGCTTTCTCTCTGTTATATATAACAGTAATGAAAGTAAAATTTTATGTATGAAGTAATACTGTATTGTTCATAGACATATTGAAATTGAAAAAAAGTGTTTATTTTTTATTAAGAATTAATGATAATAAATATTTATAAAAAATATATCATCATTTCTTATTTTTAAGAAATATTTAATATAAAATTTTATAAAATATCACTAAAAAATAAAAGTGTTAATTAATATTTTAAAAATTCAAAATTTCTAAACCACAATAATTTCAATAATGCTTTATCTAACATCTTACCTGGCTAAAAGTAGGTTTATTGTGAATACGTGAACATCTGTCTCCATGTCGACATGCTCCAATTTTAAAATAGAAAGAACAATTAACTCTGAAAGATAACAAAAGGTAACAACTTAATATTCAATTTCTCTTTTCAACTATTTTTTATAAACTGTAAGCCTTAAGAAATTATAATTTAATCGATACCATAGATAACTAATTTGAATGGCATGATAAACCATTAGTTTTTAATGTTGTAATGCTAATTGTTATCTTACAGTCATTCATCTTAGTTTCTTCCCATTACCATAGAGAATAAAACAATTTTAATGTGCCGTCAAACCTGTCTAAGATCAAACTCTCTTAATTCACTCAAAATGGTGGATCACAATTTGGGTACTAGTAACATTTTATTTTATTCCACCTTCTCCTTTACTGCATAACTTTTCATCAATGAGTGTAAAATTAAACTCTCTTGCTCAAAAGATGTGTTTTCTTTTCTAAAATTCATGGTTTTGCATCATTTCTGTTTTGTTATAGTTTTTCTAATACTTATGCTGGAACTTACATATAAGAAATCACACCATCAATACCTTTTTCAGCAACAACATTTCACAAGTTAGCCAGCAGCAGCAACACCTCACAAGTTAACTTGTGAAGTGTTGCTGCTGCTGGCTAACTTGTGTCAGAGATGTAAGCCAAAAACATTTTGATCTATTGATACATTTTATGTAATAAATAAAACATAAAATATGTAAGTATTGAATATTAAGTCAGAAATCATAGTATGATAAAATAGGGAACAGCTTTATGTGGAAAAATTCCTAAATAGGCTAACATTTTTGGTTAGCTTTACTAGCCATCATCAGGATTCAGATCCAACTTAAACAGAAATCAACAAAATACAAACGTTTGGCAAACAGAATATATAAACCAATTATCGTAGAGCATTGTTTATCCGCATCAATTGGGGACTGGAGTTGTTCGGATAACTTATTTTTCAGATAACCAATTATGTACGAAAATATATATTAACCTATTTATGTTGAAATTTTTCTCTGTTGTGTGTTGCTTCATGTCAAATTTTCATTGATGTTAAGCCTATATATTGAAAAATATAAAAACAAAAAAAGTTATACAGTCGACCCCCCTATAATTACGGTCCCTATAATTACGATTCCTATAAAACTACGAAAAAATATACGTATTTTGGAAATGTTGAGTCGGATTAGTGTAGAATTGATTAATTTTATGGAAGAAAACCTTTCAATCAGCTGTAGTCCGTAAACTTGACACGTGTCGGGCTGTGATTGGAACGACTTGTAAGAAATCGGATTCCTAATAAATTGGAACGTATCTATATCTTATAGGGGGTCGACTGTAATTCAGAAGTTAATCTAGTATCAAAAACGTTCCGATTCAGCATGACACACGTCCCGACACACAGTCCTCAGAAAAACACCACACAAAACAAGCAAAACTCTTTCTTTTTCTTGGGTTTATCTGGAGCCACTTGGGCCATATTCTCAGACGAGATGAAGCAAAATACACCACTCATGATGCAAGGTCCTAGAATATAGCTCACAATGGGAAAAAAGCCACATTCAAATACTGGCGTGTCCTTAAGTACCATTTCGACGTGTATGAATCAGAACGTTTTTGATACTAGATTAATTTCCAAAATACAATTTTTTTTTGTTTTTATATTTTTCAATATGTTTATTTTGTTTCTGCAGAATAAAGAAATAATTTTTAACAATACAATATGGTCGTGACAGTGATGCCAGCTACAACACGCACACCAACAAAAATAATATTGGAATAGCCCAAGACATAGCCAAATATTGCATCGCCACAGCACTAGCAAAAATTTAAATTTGCCAACTAGAATGCTTTTGGTTAACTGACATTTCAGTTGATCGGATTTCAGATAAACAACGCTCTACTGTACTTTCAATGTACAGAAAAGAGTGTGATGCTTTTGAATATTAAAAATTATTGTAAAATTAAAAATAAATAAAAAAACTTTTTACACTAAATAGTAAATTGATGTTAGTAACCACAAATTTCTAAGCATTTCCAAAGATTTCACATCCCTGCAGTTAATGAATTTCCTCTGTCTTTTTGTGTTTAAAAATCTTGATCCTTTCATATACTCAAGCTTTTATAGGAAAGTTAATTTGAATAATAATAATACTGGTTTCATCTTACTTTATACAAGTCTTGTCTTGCAAAGTAGAACAAGACTCATGTTCAACAGTACATAGGCACAAGAACAGCATGCATATGGAAAGATATCTTTCTTTGTGCATGCTATTCTTGTGCCTAGGTTTGTTTTAAATGTAACTTTGCTCTTTTCAAAAATTTTGTATTTAAATTCCAATTCAAATAGTTAATGTTTGTATTTAAATTTTTTTCTAACATTCCTAAATTACATTATTTTCTTTGCCTAATGATGGCATTTATAAAATGTTGAAAGTGCTTGCAATGATGATGTAAGTAATAAAAATAATTTAATGCCAACAGACAATGGTTATCTCATATGAGAGTTTTTTCAGCAAACTATTTAATCTTAAAATTCAGATATAATATCTTTCCCGGTTAAATAAAATAAATTTTATAAATATACAGAGGCTAGTAGAATCACATTAACAATTAAATCATTGCTAAAAATATACAAAAGGTATGTTGTCATTTATGGTAAGTATTTCCAGCTTTTTAAGTTATGACATATTAACAAAATCGGAGAGATAAATAAAAAAACATATATAAAATTCTAGAAATCTAAATTTTGTTTATTGTTTATAAATTACAAACAAAAAGCATTAAGTTAACAAAGTATGAAGAATATCCAAATGAATGGTTTCCTATATTTTCACCTCACCAAATAAGTGTTCCTAATGATAATGCAAATGAAAATAAAAAAACTTTTGTCAAATGAAAATAAAAAAAGTCATTCATTTGAATATTCTTCATAATTTGTTAACTAAAACAGTTCATTGTTTATTTTGAAGTGGGAAGTAGGAGTCAAACTGCATTTGCAATATCTGGGTTTTTTGTGTTCTAATAGTTATGCATTTTTATTGCAAAATTTTATGCAATTTTACAACCTTAGCAGTTCATAACAGTAGATTTATCTTGTTTGTTTATTGTCATTGTTTTGCTTTTATACAGTAATATTTTAATATAAAATGTATAGTATTATTAAACATTTTCTTTGTATCTACTGTATATTAGAGAAAACAGTTTGCATTAAATTCCTAATAATGCATACTATATGCACAAACTTATTCCTAGTGTTACTGCTTACAAACAATCCTTTAATGACCTTATTGTTTGTTAGTAAGACAGTTCAAGGTTGTTGTGTTTAATATGCTAAAATCAAGTAAGTATTCTGCATTGTGTTAGTATAACATGGAGTAATTAATTATTCAGATGAACTGGGAACAAGTTGAAAGTTTTTTTATATGTGATAACAGAAAAAAATCTCCAGATAGCCAAATTATTTTTAGGAACACATTAGATTTGGATAATAGACTATGGTTGTATTTTGAAAAATGACTTCAAGTGAAAAACCTGTCCAGTTCAGAATTACATATACAAGCATTAAGCATGATATTTGTCTTCTCTAACTCTACATAGAGACATTCTTTGAACATATGATTTCTGGTGTTCTACTTCTCAGAAAATGTTACAAGAAAGAATTCAGAAAAATTAATGTCCATAATAAAGTCATTCAGATTACAGGTTAAGTTTTCTAGGAAAAACTATGATATAATAAAACAACCTTTACTGTACAGTACATGTGCAATAAATAACTTGAGCTGTGGTAACATAATAGGCATATGAATTTCAAGCAGATACAGACCCATTCCACTATGCATTTGAGGTAATAGACGTGAACAAGATTAAAAAAACCTGTTAATTAAACTTGTTTGTATAATACGGTTAAAAATATACAGAAATGTTAAATAAATTCAAGTGTCTTTTAGCACAATAATTTAATTACAAATTCTCTTTATTATACTCTTTGATGTTCTTGCTAATGTACCAGTCCTTTTTTGTCACTTGCTTAACTGAATATTTAAATCAGTTTAACCACTAACCATCTAACCTACCTACAATGCACAATGGAATGGCTCATTCACTACATCATGCATACTTTTGGGAGCTTATCAAACACACACAGTATCCATCAGTCTCTATTAATTAATCATTACATCACTAGAATTAAATGCTTATCTGTGAAATCATACAATATTAATGGTAGTATGTACTTACTCCTCATTGTTTTACATTATCATGATCATTATGATCAGGGCTGTGGAGTCGCGTAAAAATCTACCGACTCCAACTCCGACTTTTCCTTACCATCCGACTCCGACTAAAACATCAAAACTCCACGACTCCGACTCCAACTCCACAGCCCTGATTATGATACAAGGTGGATTGTGAAAAACATTCCTTTGACCCAGTTGACAAGATGCTTAAACTTGGCCAAAGTATCCAGCCCTACAAATTTTTTTTGGGGGTTGGATACTCTGGCAGAAAAATTGGACTCGTATCCAGATGTATTTTACTTTTTATTAAATTGTAATTCTGCCAGCCCTTTTCTACAAAGAAATATTATATTTTTAATTGTGTTGGGATTGTCACCTGAGGATATTTTAAACTGTTTTGCATATTTGTGCAGAGGCATAGCCTCTAAAGAAAGGTTGTTTCTGCAAATGGAAATAGTTGTTCCTGGTGATTTGACATGGCAAGCAAAATTGGACTCGTATCCAGATGTATTTTACTTTTTATTAAAAAATGTTAATAAATTATCATGTTTTTCTTTTTAGAAATATCACTTGCTTTTTTAATTAATCCCACATGCTCAACTTACACTTCATAACTCATCTCTTGCAATTTGCAATGCAATGAAAATAGATATCATATATGCAATGCAATGAAAATAGATATCACTTTAATCATATTTAAATCTGTAGTTAAGAATGCATTCAGTTTCATTTCATTGCATGTCATTGTTTATAACAATTCTTCACATATAGAGGGGGTGCAGTCACGTGATATAATGACATCGCTCCGCACAACAAAACAATCGTCCGC